CCCAGCCGCAGGCCGCCCCAAGTGCAAAGCATTGACACGGCCCAGAGAGGAGAGGGGGCGCCCTCCTTCTCCCGCGCCCGGCGGCCCGGCAGCTCTGGCCCGCGCCCCAGCTTGGCCTCCGACCCCGCTCCCGGCCGTGGCGCCGCCCGGGCCCCTGCACTCCGGAGGGAGGCTGCGGGTGCTGGAAAGAGAGGCCGGTGGGCGGGCGAGTCGGGAGGCGCTGGCTGCCGAGGTCCCGGAGCGGAACCCAGGTGGCGGGAGCCGGTGAGTGGAGCCGTGGCAGAGCCCTGGAGGGGCCGGCGTGGGCGGGAGCGGGACGCGGCCTTTCACTCGGGAAACGCGGGGACCCCTTAGCCCGCGCCTCCCCTCACAGGAAGACTCAGGAGGACCCGGGAGTTCCGGGAAAGCCCTGAACTCAGCCCCGTATCCGCCTGCGTCCCCGACCTAAGCAGAGCTCTCCCACTGCCAGGAGAGCGGGTCCTCGAGGCTGGGAAGGTGTGAGTGCACCTTCCGCCGAGCACAGGGCGGCAAGGCGCGGGCGGATCCAACCCCCAGGTTCTTGACCCGCGACCCAACGAATTTTCGCCGCATCCGGTACCAAAGACACAAGTATCCCTCATTCTAAACACCGGCATTCTCTCTCCTCCACTTTCCTAGAATTTGTTTCCAGCTCTCGAAAGCTCACGTCTCCCAGGTTCGGTAATGCCGAGTAACGAGTGTGGGGGTCTGAGCGTCGGTGCGCACCTGCGGTTGAGCCTCCACCCCGACCCCCTCCTACCCCCGCCTGCCGCAGTCGTTCTCAGGCAGCACCAGTATTGCCTCCCGCCTTTGGGGTGTGTATGTGTTTGTGTGTGTGTGTGTGTGTGTGTGTGTGTGTGTGTGTTTCGCGCCCACTGTGGTGGTGCCTTCTGTGCGCAGCGGGAGCCGAACTTAAGGCGTGCGCCCAGTGAAGCGGCTACACACCCGCCTTGAATCAGTCTCAGGCCTGACACTGATTCCTGGAGGTCGCGTTCTGAAGGCAAGACGGACCACGCACTAGACACGGGTGACACTCCTGCCCGCACAACCAGTGCAAAGGCGGGTGAGTTCTGCCGGAGCGGGTTTGCGCCGGCGTTGTGGGCGCGTACAGCCCACATCCAACAGTGTCCCATCCGCCGCGCACACCAGTCGCAGGGAATCCTGTCGCTGCACACGCAGACCTGCCGTGTAAAATCTGATCACCCCGGCAGTGTGGGCCGGGGACCGGCCGGAACGGTTTGGCCTCCCCGAACTTTTTTTCTACTTTTCTGAGCCGACCCCGGAGAGCTCGCTACCCCCCTACCCAGCGTGCAACAGGGCGCCGCCCCCAAAGGGTTTTTCTTCACGACCTCACTCTCTACTGGGTCGCTCCTCTCTTAGTGCCTCCTCTCTGTCCAGAACGAATCTTCGACCCCGCGCTGCGCAGTCTATGCAGCCGGGGCAGGATCCGTTGCAGCTTTGCACAGGCGAAGTCCTGCCGGCTCCGTCTTAGGCGAGATGTTGCCCCTGGGGATGGATGTGTGTGGACAGGTTTGAGCAGTTGGTGAGGTGACCAGATAATAGCCAGGGCAGCGTTCCGGAGCCAGGAATCCGGGCACAGGCCTGGGAATCCGTTCATGCACTCGCAAAGTCGTGTGTGTACACGTACTTTCGAACTTGCAAGAATGGCGTGTAGTACACCTAAGTGTGTGCAATTTGGACATTTTCCTGGAGAAGGTCTGTAGCTGGTCTGGGGTCCAAGGCCCAGGCAGTCTGAAACACGCTGGTACGGGTTGTTCGCCCAAGAAACCCCGCGGCGACGATGCAGCGGCTGCATTTGGGGACCACAGTCCCACCTGGCCACAAGCACTGGGCCACGGACCTGCCCTCCGGCGGCCACAGGCTCTTTCCCGGCCCTGACCCCACGTCTGCCCTGCCTCGTCGTCCCGCAACCAACCCGAGGTCGCTACAGCCGCTCTTAATATTCCGAATTTCCATCCCCCTGTCCCCCTACCCCCAACACCTCCAGCCAAACTCTCCAGCGAGGAATATCCTTGGCTCAACGAAAACCCGCGAAGGGGAGGCCCAGGAGGCCCCGGTGCTGCGCCGTGCGGCGCCCGTCTCCCGCTCGGCCCCTCCCCCACCCCACCCCCGGGTCTAACTCTCCTCTTCCCGGGAACAGGCGCCTCTGGGGGGTCCCCGGGGCTGAGAGTGCGTGTCTCTTTAAGAGGCCCTGGGGGGCGCCTCGCGAGCCGCCCGGGGCTGGAGGGGGAGGGCACGAGCGGGGGCGGCTGGCGCCAGGCGGCCGAGGCTCCACAGCAAAGCTCCGGCCCCTGTCACTTCGCATCGGCCGGGCCCCGCAGACAGGCGGGGGACGCGCGCTCAGCCGCCCCTCCCTCTCCCAGGCCGTCCAGGGCCCGGGCGTCGGGCGGGCGCGGGCCTCGGGCCTCCGGCCCGTTGCACGCGCTCAATAAGCTCTGTGCTTCCCGCAACCCGGAAATCGGGCGGGGGCGGCCTGGCGGCCGGGGACCCCGCCCTCCGCCGCCCCTCCCTCTCCCAGGCCGTCCAGGGCCCGGGCGTCGGGCGGGCGCGGGCCTCGGGCCTCCGGCCCGTTGCACGCGCTCAATAAGCTCTGTGCTTCCCGCAACCCGGAAATCGGGCGGGGGCGGCCTGGGCCGGGTGTGGCCGTGGTCCCGAGCCTGGCCGGGCTGCTGCTGTCCGTCCTTGGCCCCGTAACCTTTCGCGGGGTCAAGGGCCACTGCTGGGACCTTCCCGGGATTGGTCCCCGCCCGGTGTCCGGTGTCTTGGTCTGTGTGACTGGGCGTGGATCTGCGTGCTCCTACGTGGAGTGATGGCTTGGGGTGTATGGTCCTGTGGCAGAGGGGACGTGCGTCCGGGTAGCGGGGCGCTGGCGTGAGACTGGTACCGAGTGCGCGGTGGTTTATGAGTGTGCCCGGGCTAAGCCCGGGTGCCGTGTGTGGCCCTATGCCGGTGACCAGTAGTGGAGGTGCCGCTGGGCGCGTCCATCCTCGTCTTGGCCTGTGTGTGTAGGAAGAAGGGGAGGGGAGAATAGACAGAGTTGCTCCCCATCCCCGGCTTCCCGGCCGGACCCGCGCCTCCCGGAGCCTTGGCGCCAGCCAGCCCCGTTTAGTGGCCGGCCTAGCTCCCCCGCGGTCCCCGGTCTGGCTGGGGTGGGGGCCGCGGCCTTGATGACCCCGGCCCGCAGCGGCCCGGCCTGTCCCGTCCACTTAGACAAATTGCGGCTGACAGGCTCGCAGTCTCTCTGGAGTCGCCGCCCGTCCGTCGCCTCCCTCCCGACCCAATTACCCCGCGCAGGGTCGGGCCAAGTGGCTGGGATGGGGCGGGGGGCTCTGGGAGAGCGGGAGGCGCGCCCTCTTCCCGGCTGCGTTGTGGCCCAGGCCTTGCGCCGGGACAGGCGGCGGAGCCACTTCTTCGGATTACGTCCCGGGAAGTGCCTGGGCAGCACGGCCTCTGCGGCCCAGCCCCCAGTCTTCCAGGCTGACGCGAAAGCAAGGCCCAGGCTGGCAGCTCTGGCGCGGGACAGCCCTGGCCCTTGGGGGTCGTCGCTGTGCACCTGAGGGCAAGCAAGGTCACAGGGCCCGGCAACCCAAGACTCATCCCCGCTGGATTTTGGACGACTTCCCCAGAGTTTTGGGGATTCCATAACCCTGAGAGCTCCAGACTACTCTATGCTCTGGGGTCGAGGTCCTCGGTTCGCAGCAGTCCGCTTGGGACGCAGGGGTCGGTAAAAGTGAGGTGCACATCTGTGAACCTGCCAGTGCGTGGACGAGCACGGGTGTGAGATCATGGGTGTGGGTGCCTGGGATCATGGCAGAGTGAACAGGCCACGCTGCTGTGTGGCTTGAGAGAGGGGACAAAGCACAAAAAGGACCCCCCTAGGACCAGCCCACCTGCGAGAGAGGGGCGGGGCTGGCCTGCGCACGCTCACCAAGCTCTTGATTAGCTTTCGCAGAAACGCTTTCGCCTGGAGCAGGGCCATGAGTCCCTGGAGCAGCTTCTGGGGTAGTTCTCGACAATCCGGGCGGGCTCCAGCATCGCCTCACCTGCCCTCCCTCTCCCCGCCACGGAGCTACCTGGCCTCCGGTCAGCCTCCGGGCCTCCAACCAATCTTTCGCTTTTTTGACCTACAGCTTCCTCTTTGCCTGCTTGGACCTTGTTGCTCTTCTCTGCTGGGTGTGCTCCCCTCCCCCCACTTTACAGATGAGCCCAGAGGTGCAGTAATTTACCCGAGGCCACACAGCTACCGGTGGCAGAGCCGGGATGGGACCCAAGGACCTTAAGAAACAGCAAAGCCACTCCTTAGAAGCTGGTGATGTCATTGCTGTCCCACTAGCTACACCTGCTCCTGCAGCAATGCAGTACTGAGACTCCAGGGCCCCACCCTCAGGCTGGGCTCTGGCTTTGAATACAAGACGGTACAAGATGCTCTTCCCTTTTGCCCCTAGAGTTTCCAGCTCTAGGTCTGCAGGAGGGGGCTGCCTTCTCAGTTACACGGGGACAAAGGAGCAGCTTTAAAGCTAGCCAGGGGCCAGGGCTGGATGCTCTTAGGAGTAGGGAATGGGGGTGAGTGGCCTCAGAGTCTTGGACTGTGTGCGGGCCCAGGACAGGGAGGTCAGTGCAGAATGCAGTTCCTCTAGGGGAACTGGCCTGGGCATGTGAGGTAGCATGGAGCAGACAGGGGTCAGCAGATTAACTGTGTGACTTCTTAACCTTGGGCAAGGCTTCTTTCAGGCTCAGGCTTCTCATCTGCAAAATGAGAACCGAATAGTGCTCTTTTGGGTGCCTTCTAGTTTAGAGATTCCCTGATCTGTGAAAATCAGAAAACTCAGCAGTGAGAAGCCATTTCCAGTCTTAGACCGGCAGCTGCCTGCTCTGGCCTCTGCTTGCTTCCAGAGGAGCCGACACTAGTGTTTGACAGAGCGCTGTGCACCTGAATTTACCTTGGGACCACTGGGCCATTTCTCCAATCAGTCCCAGACAGTGCCCTCCCTCCCTGAGCTGCCACCCCAGCTCCCATCAGCCTCCTCGCAAACCATGAAGGTAGTTTTTCCTCTATCAAGTTGAGAGAAAGTCCATAGTGATTTGCCTGTTGAGCAGGTAGCGCTGTAAGAATCAGGGAGGTCACATGGCTTCCTCAAGGTCACCTGGTCAGGCCACAGTTAGATGCATGTTCCGACGGCCTCCTAGGGTGATGCCATCATGGGGGTCTGCTGGGGCTGCTCGGGGTGAGGTGGACCTTGCCCTGGGTGTTATCTCTAGAGGACAGGAGGCTGGCTGCTCCCGGGCCAGTGGACAGTAAAGCCCCCCACCCTGGGGCCCAGTCTCACTTGCAGCTGATTACAGGCTGTGGCAGGGTCTATAACCTCTCCAATTAGCCGGGGGCCAGACCCAAGGCCTCTCTGATAACCCCAGCTCCAGTGGCAGCCGCCATGGGGCCAGCTTATCTGGCCTCTCTTATCCTCCCCCTTCCCCCACATACTCAAAGAGTTGCCCTAGCTGTGAGCAGATGAATAACCAGATTGTCCTGCAAGCTCAGCCAGCAAGTCCAGCCCTCCACCCACCACTTTCCCTGACTGAAGGAGGCCACAGCTGTTTTGCACCCCCTGGAGGGAAAGGGCTGAGCCAGGGAGGACTCCTGGCTCTAAGCTGCCAGCCGGTCCCCTGCGTGGTTGGAGAGCACTCCTGGCTGTCCATCTTTGCCCCATCCACGTGCCCTAGGGTGGGTTCAGAGGGCCTGACCCTTCCTTGAGCTCTGGACCCATCCCCAAGGAGCCAGGCCGTGGCCAGTGTGCACAGGCAATCTGGTGGCACGCCCCTCCCTCCCTCCCTGTCCCCTTTTGACTGAAACACTGCTCTGGCTGGGGTGGGGGGTATGCCAGGCACATCAGTGTCTCCAGTTGGGCTGGAACGGGAAAAGCTGCTGTTCCTCCCGCAGCCCCGACTGGGCCCAGGCCTCCTTCCGTTCCCCGGCATGCCTCACTCTGGCATGTGATTCCTCACCCCGCAGGTTCCCAGGCAGGAGGGACTGGCTTCAGCCACCCTATGCAGGGCCACCTACTCAGCCTTCAGAGCCGAGTGTGATTCAGGTCCCCCTTCTACTAGCATGCCCAACTGGTCGGCTGGAGGGCACTGAAGATTTAATCTCTTCTCAGGCGCCAGGGTTGGATGAGGTGCGTGCAAAGAGGGCGGGGGCCCTGGAGCTCCCCCGCTCTGGCTGGATGGCTGGATGGGAAGGCCTGCTTGTTTGTGAACTCAACTCTTCTGTGGCTGTTACATTAAACTTCACCCCAAACCACACCTGGATCAGTGGGTTTCCTTCAATCCTCCCAGGCCTCTCTGGGGTCTCAGGGAAGGCGGGACTGGGGCTACCCCTTTTCACTCCCCCGGCTCCTATCTCCTTCCTGCCATTCACTTTAGGTCCAGAATTGGGAGGTGGGAGGGGAACCACATCAGGAACTTGTCATCCAAGGTTCCAGCCAGGTTTCCTGTGAGACCCACCTTCATCTGACCACCCGTCACCTTCTGAGTCTGAGGAGAGGTAATGACAGGGAGCCTGTCCCAAAGATGAGGGCAGAGTCTTCATCGGGCTCTCTTTCCCACAGCAGCCCAGAAGCACATGCCAAGGACCTGACCAGCCCTGACTGCCACAGCCAGGGAGGGTCCGGGCCTGGGGTGCCCCCAGAACTAAGTGGCTCTGGTAACAGGCAAGAAGGTCAGAGAATGGATTTAAGTCAGACCCTACCCCAGTTCAAGAGTAAACATCCTCCTCCTCCTTCCTCCCCGACTCCCCTTCAGCTGCACGTGTGGAGCAGGGATACATGGTCAGGCCCACAGGACTCTGCTCCGCGCTTGGAGAGGACCCTGACCCCAGCAACTCAGGGATGGACACCAACTGCAGCGTGATTTATTGAACAAGACGTGCACTTTTTGACAGGGCCTCAGTAACCAGGGTTGCCTTCACTGAACAGTACAGGACCAGGGTAAAAGGGCTTACAGACAAGAAAGACAAATCCTTTCCGTGAGCCAAAGGGGAAAGAAAAGAGGAAGGGGGGTTTCTTCTTCCTTCCTCCTTCCCTAATACTCTGGGCCTCAGTTCAACGCCAGAAGGAGGTTGGCCAAGGGAAGCTGGGCAGCGTGTGCCAAAGCCAGGAGTGAGCTGGGGCTGTCGCTCAGGGCCAAAGTGCCCGCCGGACCACCCACCCTCGCCCCACCCAGGCCCCCCAAGGGTTTGGTTAGAAAATACAAAAGCGGGTCCAATGCAGGGCATCGTGTGCAAACGGAGGAGGGGACGGAGCTTCTGCAGAGTCTCCCTCAGCCACGGCCCCGTTGATGGGGGGCAGAGGTCATGGTGAGCCGAGGTGCTTTGGAGAAGGGTCTCTTCTCAATCCAGGGAGGGTGGGCGGCTGTTGTCACGAAGCTTGGGGAAGGTGGTTGGTAAAAGACGAGCAGAGTCCGAAGGGCAGGACCAGAGGGGGGACTTCTCCCCTCCCTCCAGCAGGTGAGTGGGCCAGCCAGTCAGAAGCAGGTTGCTGGTACCTACGGGAAGCTGGTAGGGAAGAGGCTGAGGGGCTGACTCTCATTGGTGGGCAGTGGAGATCGGTAGCCATCGAAGTTTCTCGGGATGCTGCCGCTGGTGGAACCTGAGCTGTTACTCAGAGTCTCGATGCTTCCCTCTCGCTGTAGTTCTGCAAGACAGAAGAGCGGGCCAGGCCCAGTCAGAGTGCAGTCCTGGGGAGGCGGGGGTAGCCCCTGGGCCGGGCTGCCTGCCTTGAGGCACCAATCTGGGTCCATTTACATCCTTCTGCGAGGGGAAGGACGGCCGGGTGGCAGCTCGGGTCACAGGGAGGCTCACCCTGAGGAGGGCGAAGCCCCCTTGGCTGGCGGGCTCCAGTTACTCCCTCATTGTGGGAGCCCCTTTAGCCAGAAGTATGGCCGCCCTGATGATTTGTCTGGACCACACTGCCATACATGGGGCATGTGCTCAGCCAGCATGCTCCCCCAACTCCATGAGAGGCTCCCGTCCTGGAGCTACAAGTCTGGCAGGAGGGGAGAAGCCAGGACATGGGAAGGACCGACGCTTCCCTACCTGATCTGTCTCCCTCCCCTCCCCTCCCCTGCCAGGGAGCTTCAACCCTGGCTTAGCCACTCGCTCACTCGTTCTCACCCACACAATCTGCCTGCTGGCCAGGCCCCGGTCCCTCTGTGGCACCTCCTGGAAAGTGTCCTGTTTCCCTTCAGGAGGGAATGCCAGGTTTAAGAGGGGCCTATGTGCCTGGAGTGCCTCCTTTCTCCCTTCCTCTGGGCTCCCAAGTGTCCTGGAGGCCCCCCAGAATGTCTATGCTCAGAGTCAACCTGGGAGGCAGGCAGGGAGGCTCCCAGCTCCTCCTCTGCCCCTTCCCTGGCATCAACACAGCCGCGCTACCATCTTGAATATGGCAACTGGCTCCATCTCATTCAACTCTGGGCAGCTTACTCAACTGCCCCACCATCTCTTGATCCAAGACAAGTACTGGGGTAGGTGGGCTGGGAACAGACTTCCTGGCATGCCGAATGCAAGGAAGAGAGAATTACTTCTTGGCTTTTTGAAAGTGGCCAGTTCCTATACCCTTTCCTTCACAGTGGGCTCTGAGATGTGGGCACACACATCCCTGGGCAAACTCTGGGCCCCAAGCCAAGATGTGGTACCCGCAACCTCTCCTTCCCCAAGGTACACCTGCCCGGGACTGAGGGGGTCTTGTGTGTCCACCCCAGGAGCCCAGGACCTCAAAGCAGTCATCTGAAACGGCAAGGTGTGCTCGAATGTTACACTTGTCTGGTCTCTTTTATCTCCAGCCTGCACCTGCTCCCTGGCTCCCTGCCACGGTACACATGCAGCACAGCTGGCTTTGGTTAGGGAATGGGTCATGGCCTTTACTCCTGGGCCGGCCATCACCAGTCGGCCAGGAAGTAACCACCGACACCCCCCTCCCTGCGGGCGACCCCCAAAGCACCGTGGTGACCCAGTAGAGGCAGCCACAGAACGCGCTGGGGGAGTCTGCTGCCCTTCCTCAGAGCAGGCTCCTGGTCCTGTGCGAGGCGTGAGGGGCCCTCAGGCTGCACCAGGCACCACTCCGGGGCCCGGGCCCAGGCTGGAAGGGTGTGTGTGCCTGGACACCAGAACCCCTCAGCAGATGGGGGCTGTGGACACAGGCTACAGGCTTGGTGATGGCCCCTGATCTCCAAGACACTGGCTGCCCCGTTGGGCCCAACCCTCAGATAAGTCGAGAGTTATCTAGATGTGGATCGCCCTCTATCTAGCCTCACCCTCATTTGGGAGTCCAGGCCATTGTGCCGAGAGAGGGACAGGACAGGAAAGCAAAGAACAGGCCCCAGGATTTCTGTATGGGAGCGTCAGGCCGAGGAGTCTGTGGGAGATCTCTGATTCCAGAGGCCCTGGCCCTGGTGCGGGCTGTCCCAGCACTAGGGGGCGCTGGCGGCAGGGCCAGGAGGGCAGGAGACAGGAGCAGCGGCCGCAGCAAGAGGAGCAGGGGCTTCCTGAGCCTCTGGACACCAGGTCCGAGGAAGAAAGCCCCGCACGAAGGAGCAGGAAGGGCCACCAGCACGGGGAAGGTTGGCACCTCTCCGGAACTGGAAGACAGGCCCGACGTTCTGGAGGCCCAGCGCCGGCACATCCCCACTAACGATGAAGCCGAGGGGCCGGGAGCCCAGAGCCAAGCGTGGCACCCCCTCTGCCCCTCAGCACAGGCCCGCAGGGACCCCACCCCGCGAGTCTGGGCGGACGCCCGTCATCCCATCCTGTGACAGTGCAGGGACGGTTGCCAAAGGCACTTACAAGATGAGTTTGCTGCTCTTGGGGGCCAGGTAGAGCCTGAGCTGTCCTGCTCGTGTTTTCTCTTTACCGGTGACGCCTGGGATGTGAGGGAAGTGGCCCCATCTCCCAGGGCGACCGAGCTCTGGTGAATTTATGTCCCATACGTCTCCCCGGGCCTGCTCCCTCCTCTCCGTGCCCTCGGCCACTGCTGGGCTAGGCCTGTGCTTCCTGCCTGGATAAGTTCCAAAGTTCCCTACTGGTCTCCTGACCTCCAGAACCCCCTCTCCAAGCCACCGCATCCCAAAGCCGGGGTGTTCTGTCTGTAGCACAAACCTCATCTTGCTTTTCCTCTGCTTAAAAGTCTTCATCGACTCCTAAGCGTCCTCAGGATAAGGTCTAAACCCCTCAGCTCTATCGAACTGCTTTCCATGACTGACCCGCCCC